TATTCCCCCCTTCATTCCCCTCTACCCTACCCCCCATCCCCACCGTTATCCCCCCTTTAGTTTATGACCACGTGTCTCAATTCCTTTAGATTCTATATTTCCCATGCTATTCTTGCCCCCCCCATCTATTTTCTATCTACTGTCTATGCTACTTATTTTCTGTACCTTCTCCCCCCCTTCTCCTCCTCCCACTCCCCTGTTGCTAACCCTCCTTGAGATCTTCATTTCTATGTTTCCACTCCTGATCTAGCTGTCCTTTTAGTTTGCTTTTGTTTCAGGTGTGGTTGTTAATAACTGTGAGTTTGCTGTCCTTTCACTGTTCAGATTTCTTTAACTTCTTTTTCTTAGATAAGTCCCTTTCACATTTCATATAATAAGGGCTTGGTGATGATGAACTCCTTGAATTTGATCTTATCTGAGAAGCACCTTATCTGTCCTTCCATTCTAAATGAAAGTTTTGCTGGATAGAGCAATCTTGGTTGTAGGTCTTTGGATTTCATGACTTGGAATACCTCTTTCCAGCCCCTTCTTGCCTGTAAGGTCTCTTTTGAGAAATCTGTTGACAGTCTGATGGGAACTCCTTTGTAGGTGACTGTCCCCTTAGCTCTTGCTGCTTCTAGGATTCTCTCCTTCATTTTAATTTTGGCTAATGTAATTATGATGTGCCTTGGTGTGTTCCTTCTTGGGTCCAACTTCTTTGGGACTCTCTGAGCTTCCTGGATTTCCTGGAAGTCTATTGCCTTTGCCAGATTGGGGAAATTCTCCTTTATTATTTGTTCAAATAAGTTTTCCACTGGTGGCTGTGCCTTTCCCCCTTCTGGTACCCCTATAATTCGGATGTTGGAGCGTTTAAAGATGTCCTGGAGGTTCCTAAGACTGTCCTCATTTTTTTTGAATTCTTGCTTCTTCACTCTTTTCTGTTTGGCCATTATTTGCTTTCTTCTGGTCCACTCCATTGATTTGAGTCCCAGTTTCCTTTTCATTGCTATTGGTGTCCTGTGCAATTCCATTCATTTCAATTAGTTTCGCCTTCATATGTTTGTCTAATTTGTCGGTATAATCAACCAGTTCTGTGAGGATCCTGATGACCAGTGTTTTAAACTGTGCATCTGAGAGTTTTGCTATTTCTTCATCGCTTAGATTTATAGGCTCTGGGGCTCTGAGATATTCTTGCGTCATTTTTGGTCTGTTTTGGCCCTTTAAGTGTGAGAAGCGGTGCCTTGGACTCCCAGGTCGCTGGGTTGTGACGCTTATGTGGGGGCGTGGTCAGAGCGGGGAAATGGCGACCCCCTCAGCTGTTTCTCACAGCTGGGTGAGGATTAGCGTCTTAGGTGGTTTACCTGGGCCGGGCCACTCAGAGTCGCTGGGTTATGATGCTGCATGTGGAGGTGGGGTCAGAGCAGGGAAATGGCGGCGCCCTCCCTGCCACTTGCCGCGGGGACCCGCCTGGCCCCAGTCCAACGGCCCACTCCCTCTCCTGTCCGCCCACGCACAAATGCGCGACCACAGTCAACACGCAGCACCGTTCCCCAGCTGTCTCCCCCGCGGTTGCTGGCCTGGTGGCTCGCTCGGTCGCTCACTAGGTCCAACCCTGCACCTGGATTCTGCGCGTCTGGATTCCGCGCCTGAGTCCGGCTGACCGAGACCTGTGCAATCCCGCTTCACCAGCCGCTGGTTTCTCCCCTTACCGGTCAGGCTGAAGAATTTGTTGTTAACGGACTTCCGAAAAGTTCAATTTTTCCGTGTTCTGGCTGTGTTTTCTATTGCTAATATTTAGTTATCTCTAAACTTGGTTGTGTGAGAAGGCACAGCACATCCACCTATGCCTCCATATTGGCGGAAGTCCTCACAACCAAGCTTTGTTGTGTGTTCATGTCATGTGCCCAGTCGAGGATGTTTGAGGCTCTACTCTCTGGATCCTCACACCAGGACTAGATGCTCAGCCTAGATGTGACCCAAGCCACTACCACTAACAAACCAGTGATAGATTGGAACAAGTTACACAGCCCCACTTTCAGAAAGTCCACATATTCCCACAGAGCAAGACCATTCAACATGCTGTCAGGTCACCAGGAAGGCCCAAAAGGAATGCAATGGGGCCAATTGCTGGGGATGTCTGCAGGAGCCTCTCAAGTGGTTCCTGGCTTCCTCTGGCCTCTGGACCTCTAGTTCCACAGCCCTCAAATGCAAATCACAGCTCACCTTCCTTGCTTCCCAAGGAGGCACAGAACAATCTGCCTACTCTTTAGTCTTGAGGCCCCCGTGATGTGGACCATCCTGGGTCTCAACACCTGCTGTCTTCCTGTTCCTCCTCCTCCCCACACATTGCTCACCCTGCCTTCTCTACCCCATTATTCATTTCTGACTCAGGAAACACTTCTGGATACCACCATTGCTGCTTCCTCTTGGCCCTCTCAGGTCTCCATGCCACTGCTTGTCCCCAGGTGACCCTCCCTGTCTACCTGGCTGCCCTCACACATCATTATGTTGTCTTTACACACATGCCATGCCCCAGATGCTGTTATCTTGGTTTAGCATGGCCTACTAGTTTATCCCTGCTCACAGAGTCTGTGTGGCATCTGCTGTCCCATCACCAGGGCTTAGCATAATGCTGGGCACAAAGAAGGGACACAGTTAAATGTGCTAGATCGCTAGCCTCACCCTTCTGCCACCCACAGACACCTCCATCCACATGACACAGTATTAGCAGCTGATGGTTTTAGTACTCTCCATGAGCTACTGGGTCAGCAATCAGAAGGCACCTGTCTCTTTCCTTCACTGTACCAGCTGTACAATTACGCTTGATCACTGCATGCTGTGCACCTGATTGCAGCTCAGAGCTGATCACCTGCTTTCAGGCAGGGCAGGCTGGCAGGGCTGGAGCCCCAGGCAACCAGACGAGGGTAATTGAGACAGGGCTGATTGTACTGGAAAGCTGGAGGGGCCCAAGCTGTGAGAACAGGACATGTCACACCTCAGATTGGACCACATTTGCTAAATTTGTTTCCGATATAATTTCATGGTGATTAAACTGATTTCTTTTTAGTAATTGATGCTGGCATTAAGCATGACACCTTCAGCCCTGGCTGTAAGAACTAGCCAGTTTTGGAGCAGGAGGTATGATTTATGGCCTGCTCGTCAGAGCTCTTGGAACAGAGAGGTACTGAAGGAAAGCAGGCTGGAGTGCTACCAGGATTTTCTGGGGATCTCCCTACTGATTCACTGTGGCCTGATTTCTGCCTGTCTGTCCCTTACTATTGTGCAGCCTTGGGCAAGACCTATGTTCCCCTCAGCATTCTATGTTCGGGATAACTCCTACCTCGGAAAGTGGCTGTGAGGTCCCAACTGGTTCATTCACCAGCAGAACTTGGACAGTGGCTAAACTACAAGTGGGTAATCAGCCTCTGTCATCATCATTGCCCAGGGACAGCCTGAAGATCAGGTATTGAACAGATCCAGATAAGCCCTCTGGGAACACGTCACACTTGTGTCATCCAGATGCAGGCCTGCTTCACCCCAAACTATCATATCTGGCCCTCAGGCCCATCCTCTGAATGAAGAGAAATGGCCATCCCTGTTGGGCCATGGAAGAAATGAGTCAGAGCCAGCAAAGGCTGCACTAAGACCTTCTTCATCAGAAAAATGTCAAAATTTTCATGGGATGAACAGCAGGGTCTGTGCTGGAGAGGCCAACATTTCTCAACAAAAAGTGCACTAAAGAAAGGCCAAAACAGGCAACTCTAGCTCTGATACATAAGGTCTGTCCAGAAAGTATCCAGCCACATAATATGAAAAAGAGACATTTATTGCAGAAGACATAAGAAACATTGTACATAGGACAATGATGCCTCAGTCCCCTTCAAAGTAGGCACCTTGGGACCTCACACAATTCTCCCAATCACCATTAGCTGCCCTGTCATACTTTCCTGAATCTCATTGACGGTGTGAAATCTCTTACCTTTCAAAGGTGATTTCAGTTTTGGGAAAAGCTGGAAGTCAGAGGTCACCAAGTCTGGGTTGTAGGTGGGCTGAATCACTTGGGCGATTTGATATTTTGCAAAAAAAAAAAAAAAAAAAAAACTCTGTATGAGCCATGGTGCATGAGCAGGTGCATTGTCATGAAGCAGCTGCCACTCACCAGTTGCCCATAGCTGTGGCCTTCTCAATCATCCAAATAGTTTCCATGGAGGGATATTCAAGCTCAATGCAAAATTCAATGAAGATTTATTGCTCAACTCACTCAGTCATTTTGAATGTGATGGGCATACAGCACATAATGTTCACTCAATGGTGTCTATCACCCCTACTGACTAGTACAGTGAAGTCATCATTGTTCATTCATGTGCATTCCAGTCCACTCTCCTTGGCTGCCACCAGGTTACACTGACATTGCACAAACCACAAACCATTCTCATTATACTAACAATGGCTGGACTTTTCCTGGACAGATATAGTACAAGGTGGGACCAGAGCTTGATGACCACAGGCATTTCCGCAGGGCTGTCTGTATCAGAGCCTGCATTTAAACAAAGCCCTCAAAACCACTACCCTAAGCCAGAGGTCTATAACTCTATTGCGTATAAGTCCCTGGGGAGCCTCTGAAAAGAATACTGCCAAGACCACAGGACCAACTGGCTGCCAAGCTGCTCAGACCCTGGTGTTTTCATGTTCAGCAGATGGTTTGAAAGTGCTTCCAAGTCCCCAGGCAACTGCAGGTTCACAGCACACAGAAGCAGTGCAACCCTGGCCCAGGCAATACACCTCTTCAGCTGCTGAAACACTGGAGGCCAAAAATCAGCACCTGTGGTCAGCCTGGTGTAATGCTGCTGCAGATTATGCTGACCACCATCTGGAGCAAGACCTGGTTGTACCCTGTGGGCAAGAATCCCAGCATGGCCTGGGAGATGCCATTCCAAGCATGGGATGTGCTTTCCATCTGTAGCCAGGTGCCACACACCCACCCCGACCCCTCCCAGCAAGAAAAGCCCAGAGCCATGAGGTTTAGGAAAAAAATGTTTAATCTCTCCTTAATGTGTGTATTTACAAGTACTAAATCTGAAGAACAGTAAAATAGGAAATGGCCATGTATTTACACAATCTGTGGGCTGAGCACCCCATCAGTCACATCGCTCCTGGGAGAGGAAGTGGCATGGGGTGGGTCAGGCTAGCCTAGAGATTACTCTTCTTTTGAATGGGGGCCCTGTGGCATTAAAGGACAGCTAACTGTGGGCTTCATCTTAAAAATATCTCTCTGTAAATATATCTATTCTAGCTTGTGTAGCACCAACATGAGCCATCACATCCAGAACTGAGAGGAAAACCAAGGTGGAGGCTCTCAGCAAGATCAAACCAGGGAGGGTGGGAACATTTGGGGCCCTCCACCATGGGGTGACCCCGGCAGCTCTGCCCTGGGTCAGGGAGCACAGGGTAAGTTCGAGGTATATGGAGAGGCCCAGTTCCCAGACCAAGGCATGAGCCATCCCTGGGGAACTCCTGAGACGAGGAAGGTTGGAAGGGGAGGCCTGAGGCAGGACAGGACATAGCAGCAGTGTTTGGGACAGGAGGGATGTTCCTGGACAGCACCCTGTGCCGTGGCCCAGACCCCTGGGCCTGAGACTGCAGAGGGGCCTTTAGGATAGTCACATCCACCTTCACTGCAGAGGACTCCATTCCCAGGCTCCTGCTAGGTAGGGCCCCACACCCTCTCAGGCCAGTGCTAGAACTCAAGTCAGAGCCCCTGGCAGATCCCAAGATGATGGTGGGGTTCCTGGGAATGCTTACAGAGCTGGGAGAACTGCGTGAACAAGTGGCAAGAACTCAAGGCTTAACTACACAACCTGGCAGGAAGGGAAGTGCGGAATCTCCAGCACTGGGTAGACAGCAGGTTTAGAATTGGCTGGATCAGCTCACATGTAAACAGATATTGCTAAAGTGCTTGCCCCCAGACAGGTGTGTGCCTTGTGGTAGGCCACTCCCCTCCTCCTCAGGAGAGCACAGATGGTGTTCTACAGGCTGGGAGGCCTCAGGGAGGAGGGTGGGGACTGGACTCTGAAAAGGGCAGAGAGGGGTGGAGGAGTCCCAAACTCAGTGTGGAACTGGAAGAACAGGGCTTCAATTAGAAACCAGTGCCCAGGGAAGACTGGAGGAAACCTGAGGCCACACCCAGGCACAGGCAGGTAGCATTAGAGGGGAGGCAGAGGTGCACCCAGGGACTGGAATTCAGGCCAGAGAAGTGGTTACCAAAAAGACAGCCTAATTTCTAGAACGGCCTCAGCTCTGGCCCCACAAGTTGGCCCAGGCACAAGCCCACCCAAGCTGCACTGAGGTCAGCAGGGCTTGCCAGAGCTACAGCTAGTCATTCACAGCAGGAGACTGGAGCCTTGTTCATTGCCCAACCCCTTCCATTTCAGAAGCCTCTCAAGTCAGGAGTTCTTAGATTTCACAAGTGAGGGGGCAGCCCTTAATCTGATCTCCAAGGTGTGCAACTTGGCTCCCCGGCTTAGGAGAGGGGACCTCAAGATCCACAGTTAGCTGTCCCTTAAGGTCTGTGGGAATCTTTAGTACCATCGAAAAAGTGAACTTGAAGGGGGGGGGGCACTTGTCTGCTTTCACAAGTGACTGATTAATTAAAAAACATTTAAAAAGTGTCTAGCAACCTCTAGTATTCAACACTTGCAGTTTTAAAAAAGATCAAGTCAGACTTAACGCTAGCACAGTCATGCAGAAACTCACAACCCTTCGCCCTGGAAATGGGGAAGGGGGGTCCGCACTGAGAGAAGTTCTCTCCTTTTTACATCAAAACAAATAACCGGACAAACCGCAGTTCAAGGGGCGGAGGCCTGGGGTGTTCTGCTGAAGGAAAATGGCCACTTGCTTCACGACCATTTGGTATTGCTTTCCCACTGCCTTAGTTTTCTTATTCTAAATTGTAAAATTTCTCCTCCTCCAGTCAACTATACAAGACCCCACTGGGGTTGGAGACTGAGGCTGGAGACACACACACACACACACACACACACACACACACACACACACACACAAAATAATGTACAGGTTTTGTTTTCGTTAAAAATTTGTTCTCTCTTGCTCACTGAGGGCAGGGTGGACAGAGCCAACCATCAAGCCCTCTGGTCACTGTGTCCTGCTCCCTGTCAGGCCGTAGAGTATGACCCACCAGGCCCAGCAGAGTGCAGCAGGATTTCTTTGTTCCCCTAAAAGAACAGAAAACAGTCTCCAGATGTCCCATTGCACTTGAGGGGCCAACACGCAGCTGAGATGCCAGACTGAAAGCCGCTGGAAGGTAGAAATGGAGAACAGGGGAGACTGAGATGGAAGGAGGGAAAAGGATGGTTGGGGCTGCTCCCTGGAGCTCCATACTGGAGAGCTTGCCCAGAGCGGATGCAGTGGAGGAATAAATAATGGGAATGTGTACTCATGACTGGAGCGCCAGGCCCCAGTGGCTCCCAGAGACATAGCCCTGAGGACACAAAGGGAGTCGCTGAGTCCTTCTGAAAGACACTTGGGAGCTGTGAGCACAGCCTTCCTGCAGACCCTCCATAGGAGGGAGCTGGGGGCCTCTCCCTGGGCAAGGTGCTCCTGCCTCCACCACAGAGCACGCGGTGAATCAGAGGATGGTAGCGTGCTGCAGCAGCAAGCATGAGGGTGGCAGGCGAGTGGCAATGGCCCAGACTAACTTCGGCTCACCTTGGCCAGGCCTAGTATTCAGCCTCCCCCAGGCTGCCAGACAGGCCTCAGCCCTTAGACTCTGCCAGGGAAGCTAGGAAGGCTGACCCCCTCCCAAATCCTCATCCTGGCTCTTCTGGCCTTGCCAGCATAGCCTCAAGGAGACAACCAAACTGGAATCTCCCCTTCTGGAGGGCTCAGCCTTTCTCCCCAGGTCTTCAGCAGTCACCTGAGTCACCTGAGAAGGCTCCACCTGGGATCTCCCTGCCCTGTGGCCAAAAGCTCTGGGCATGGAGGGTGCTGCAGGTACTGTTTCACCTACACCAGTAACAACCAGGATCTCTGCCAGGGGGAAGGGAGGGCCAGGAGGACAGTGGCTTGCACGTCTGCCCTGAGCACATAGGCACCCAGCACACACGGGAGAAGGCTGCCTCCAGGGACCTCCCAGCTTTGGCTGTCGGGTTGGAGGCCACCCCTGCAGGCCCTTTCACTAATCTCCCGCTGGACAGTGGCAGCCAAGAGGCTCAGCTGCTTAGGGCCATTGTGTCCACCACTTGCTCCAGCTTGCTCCGGAGCCGCTGTCGACGAGCTTGCTCATCCTTCTCCAGGGCTGTCAGGATCTGGGGAAGCAAGTAGGGGTGTTAGTGAGCCTGGCTGGGGCTGCCACTCACATGGGACCATTACATGGACACTTGGATATATACAATGAACAAGTAGCATGGCTGTAGCTGGCAGGAGCTCCAGAAGAGATACCTAATTCCATCCCTTCCATTCTGAGCTGAGGGACCTGGGTTTTGAGCCTAGACCCCTACAGGACCAGTGTGAAGAATAAGTCCCCTTTTTCCCTCATTATTCCTACCCTTCAGCCCCAAAATAGGCTCATGGTCCCTAGGAAGTCAGCCCTTCATGTCCCCTTGGTGCAGTTCCCTATCTGTAGATGGGAACAGGGCCTGATCACCTGGGACACTGACATGCCACTAGCTCCTAGAAACCCTCTATGTACTGCAACTTGGCCTGCTGCTTCCAGCTGCTCCAGGAACCAGAAGCACCCTGAATTCACATTCCTGGTTCCTGCTGGCACATCAGGCCACCAGTGTGTGGCCACATCACCATCTCCTTCCACCCCATCGCCCCAGTTTCTCTGTGTCCTTTATAGTGGAGCTCCTCAGAGAACCTCTAGCTCCTTTCTGGTTTCCTTCATGAGCCAGAGGATGGCCAGCTTTAGTCCCCAATCCCCAGGCAATATCACCAGGTCACCTAGGATCTGCTGTTTGTCCTTCTTGCCCCTGGAACATCTGCCACATCTGCCCAATCTCGCTTCTAGATACCCAGCCCCTGCCACCTTAGAGTCTCAGCCCACCCTCCTCCTATTCCAGGGCCATCTCCTCCAATCTAGCTGAAGGTCCTTCTGCTCAATGCTGACCCCCGCACCCTGACCCTAGAGCCCAAGTCTCTCCTGAGCCCCAGCTCTACTCCCCTCAAACTCCAAGGCAGATTCCTTGGACTCTCCCACCTCCTACAGTTCACTCTGTCATACTCCAAGCCAGTCGGACCAGCAAGTCCTGGCCCCTCCCACCACGGCTCAGCCCTTAGTTGGTCCCTGCCTCCCCCTTCCCCTGGGCACCTGACAGTGGGACCACAGGTCTGTCTCTAAACCCTGATGGCCCATCACATTTTCAGGGAAAATTCAAGTTCCTCAAGGCCTACACACCCAGTGACAAACCTCTTGCCTCATCCCCCGTCTCCCTAACATGGCTCTAATTCAGCCTCCTGGCCTCCATAGCCCTGTAGCCAGACCCACTCTGGCCTCAGGGCCTGGGCAGTAGCCATGCCCATCTTGCCTCCCCAGCCTTATATTTCCTATCCAATTCAGCCCACAAGTCAGTCCTCCTTCCTCAGATATCTCAGGGAGCCCCATCTCCGTGCAGCAGATGGTAAGGAGACCTACTGAAATCTCACTCTAGGTCAGCAGAAAAAACACTTAAAAGAGGAAGAAAATGGGACTGGTGCCTGGCTCTAGAAATGTCCTCCCAAGTCCATCAACCTTATAACAGGCCCTCAGAGAATATTCAATCACCACCCACATTCTCCACCACAGGAAGCCACTGTAATCTGCTCCCCTGAGCCCCCAAACTACCCAGAAGCATGCTCCCTAACCTGCTGCAGCCCAGCCTGACACTGCCAGGCCTGGTGGGCAATCACAACAGTGTTGTATCCCTGTCCCAGCAAGTGAGGTGGCCAGTGGGTGAGCAGAGCCATCCCAGAGGCCCAGGAAGAAAAATGGGACTGGGTAAGGTCGGCAAAAGGGTCTCAGGAAGGGAGTCCTGCTTAGCAAGGCCTGGTAAAGGGCTGAGCAGGGTGGAGTGAAGCGGGCAGCTTTGGGTGAGGCCGGTTGGTGTGCTCACCTCATCCTTGTACTTGGTGATATAGGAGTAGATCTCGTGCAAGGCGCTCATGCTGTTGAACTGGCTCAGGTGCAGCCGAGACTGTTCAGCCAAGTACGCACTCATATCCTGGTCACTGATGGCAGGCATCTTGGCAATATCAGCATAGTACCTGCCAGCAGATGGCAGGCCGGCACATGAGCTGGTTCCTAGCCCTCAGCCCACCAACCACCCCATGAATACTCGCCTCACCTCTCCACCCAGCTCTTATAGTTGGGGATGTCCTTGGCATAAAGTAGTTTGTTGGAAGGTGAGTCCTTGCCCAACTTGTGCTCAGACGTGGAACAGGAGTCCATAAAGGTCTGGGCCACCACCGACAGGCAGGCATCAGTGATACTGCTCTTATGGATGTCGAACACAAACTGTGGGTTCTTGATCACATTCACCCAGAAGCGCAAGGGCAGGCTGTGGGAAGGCAGGCCAGATGCATGGTCAGACGGGACCTCAGAATCCCTCTCAGACAGCATGAGGAAGTGGCCAGCCAGCAGCTTCCCAGCCTGCCTGGTTCTGACCTTCAATGACCATGATTTCCATGCAGATGAGGAAACTGAAGCCCAAAGAAGGGTTCAGCCCTCAGGAAGTGAGGGCTGTCTCATGCCACCCACAATCTACTACAGCACAGTATCTCTACATGGTCACATGCTTACAAACACACTTGCACACAATCACAACACTGCATCTGCCCAGGAAGTGCTCCAGAGGACACATTCCCACAGACACTTGACCTCTGTGCCCAAAATGCCACCTCTAATACAGTCATCAACTGGGCTATCCGATAGCTACAAGCCAATTGTGATTGTTTAAATCTAAATAAACGAAGTTAAAAATTCAGATTCTCAGTTGCAGTAGTCACGTCAGGTGATCAGTAGCTGCATGTGGCCAGCAGCCACCACTCTAGATAGCAGAGATCTAGAACATTCTGTCACTTAAGAGTATTCTCCTGGATGGTGCTGACCTACATGATGATGTCTCCCATGGTGCCCCATGGAACCTCTTCAAGGTTCACAGGCAATACAGGCAGAGAAAGAGGCCTATGGCTGTATCTAGGTTTTAGAAGTGACAGCATGTAGAGGGCAGAGTGCTAGAACGGGTGAGACTACTAGGGGATCAGGGAGGAAGAGGCCAGAGGCACAGGAGCTTCTCTGAGGATGGACCAAATGCTGTAGGTGCACATGGTCAGGTTCAGAGAAACAAATATCAGACTGGGTAGTGGCTGCTGGGGTGGTGGTGGGGTAAGGGTGCTGGCTACCTGAGGGATTGTGAGAGTCCCAAATCTGCTGTTACTACCTCTGTCATCCTCATCACTGCCAATGGCTGGCATGGCCTGGTTCATCAAGTTTGTTTCTCACAAAATCCCACACTCATACCCTTGCACACAGCCATATACAACCAAGGAAACACACAGCACATGTAAGTAAACACACACATGCATGCACATGCATACATCTAGCTCCCACAGCAAAGGGGGTCCTCCAAGCTAGAGCATAGGACATGCCCAGTTCCACAGCACGCCAGGCAGCGTATGTGCCCCACATGGGTTCATTGAGAAGGCTCACATGAAGATGGGCTGACCACAGCTGAGGAACAGCTAACCCAGGCTGACCTTCCCCCTCACCCATCAGAACAGGGCCCCCGGAGGACATGCCTCCTACAGCAGCTCAGTCTCCATCTAGCCTGACTGTGCCCAGTGCCCCACATGGCCCCACTGCTAATTCCCATTCTGAAGGTACCAGTTGCTCTTCCAGGTGTGGCGCACATCTGAGTCGTGTATCTGGTGCTGGTCAGCCTGCTCGTCCAGGAAATCAAACATGTACTTGATGGCCAGAGGCAGGGCTGAGCCCCGGTGTGCCGTGCTAAAGATGGTCTCAAACAGGTCATCCACAAATTTCTGCAGTGTGCCCTATATGTAGGCGAAGGCATAGAGCTCTAGGACACCACCAGGAGCCCCTCACATCCTCAGTGACCTGGACAGCTGGCTGTGCTGCCACCATGTCCCCACTGCCTGCTCATCCAGGCCTACCTTGGTGGCTAGCAACCGTGTCAGGTATATCTCTGAGACCATCTTGCTGCCGCGGTCGCCCTCCCGCTGGTCCAGGTGGTCGTGGTTCTTCACCAGATGCCACAGCTTGGTGCCGCTCTCCAGGTCAGGTGTGATCATAGGTGTGCGCGAGCGCAGGCTGTCAGGGCTGCTAGCTGTGCGTAGCATGCTCTCTGCAGGCACCACACAGTTAGCTGGCAAGCCCACTGCATCCAGCACCCATACCCTGCCCTGGCCAGGCAGCCTTGGGTCAGAAGCTCCTGTCGGAGCCTCAGTTTCCACATCTGAAAACTAGGGTCCTCAGCCCCACCTCCCTGGACTGTCAGGGACAGAAGGAGACATGCTGTGTGTGAGTGTATGCTATAAGGGAAAAGGTGCAGCCTCCAAATTGAGGGAAAGACCAAGTGTCCAAGTGACAAACCATGATGTGGCCCCTTCCAGCCTTTACAAGGCCCTGCTATAGAGGGCCCCAGGGGAGGTGTCCTATCCAGGCCAATGAGGCCTGCCCACTATCCCCACCTGACCCCTCACCATATCTGCTGAGGGACTTGGTAAAGGTGGATGAGTTAGAGATGTTGTAGGCGGACGTCTGCTTGGGCACCAGCGCCACCAAGGACCCATCCGTCACCTGTGGACAGAGGGCCGAGAGACTCATGACCCACCATTAGGAACTGTGGACACCTTCAGCCCTTCCTGGTGCTATGCCTGGAGGCCAGTCATCTCACCATTCTGAGCCTCCATTTTTCCAGTGGCGCACACCCAGGGCTGCTGGAACAACCAGACGAGCCCAGTGTTGGGTCTGGAAAGGTCATACATATGACCCTTGACCCCATTTCTGCCCAACGTTTGTTGCCCACACACAACCACAGGCCTGGACATCAGCTCCCAAGGAAAATAGGCTGAGCCATGGCCAGAAGGTAGGAGGTCCAGGATCACCTGATAGTGAGCCAGAGTATTCAGCCTCTTCCAGTCATTGTCAATCTTGGTGGTGACATCCTCGTCCTGCAGGATGATTCGTGCCATGCGGCCCTGACGCCACTCTGAAGGAGAGGGAAACACTGGGAAGCAGAGCTACAGGAAAGTGTCTCCACTGCCCCTTTTCCTTGGTCTCACCTCTCAATCCAAGAAGCAAAGGTGTCCTTAGGGGCACATAGTACAGGGCTTTGGACAGTAAAATAACAGAGGGACAGGGCTTCTCCTTTCCAACCCCCAAGCAGCTCCCATCCTGGCTCAGAGCAAGAAGCAGTACCCCTACCATTAACCCCTGCTTCTTGCAGCTGCAGCTGTCCCACTCCAGGCAGCCCACCCCATTTGATGCCCTGCCTTTGAGCTCCAGGAAGCTCTTCTAAACTCCTCAGCCTGGCACAAGGCCCCACCTCTCCAACCACACCAGGTATGGGGACTTGCTGGCCCCATACCTACCCCTGCTCCTGTGGTCCTCCCCTAGCTCTGTAAGCACCCCCACATGCCCAGTTCATGAGTCACAGTGCTACTCCCCCAGCTCTAATGGCTCACTCTCCTCCTAGAGTAAGTGGGAACCCCAAATCCTGGCTGTTCCCTTGATTGGGTGGCCCTCTAAGGGTGCTCCCTGATTCCATCCTCCACCCCAACTGCCTCCACCCTGATCCACTCACATCTACAGCCCACCTGGGATGATATCCCTTCTCTCATGCCTTCCTCAACAGCCTCCTGCCATGGCCTCCAGCACCTTCTGCCAGCACCCAATGCCTGGCCTAGAGCAAGAGGCTCTGCTTGGACTTTTCTAGCTAAGCCTGTTACCTGTGGCCCCCAGATACACACCATGGCACTGCCCTTCTTCTTAGTCTGCATACCTTGGCAGGCCCACTGTCCAGAACCCCAACATAGCCACATTAGTGTGAGAACTCCTCCCTCACATACTCACCCAGGTCCATGTCCCCAGCCTTGGGCCGCTGGGAGTAGGGCACACCCTTGTACACAGCATCCAGCAGCTTCTCCTTGACTTGTGTCACTGTGTCACAGTTTAGTCCCTTCACTGGCACCTCAGGCGCATTCTCGTTCTCAGGGTTCACACAGTTCAGGGTCTGAGTGCAAGGAGGGGCGCAGCATCAGTGCCCACCTCTTAGGGAGCAGGCCCATGGGAAAGTGTGGGTGGGGGACAGGGCAGGATGCTGGGCCTGCACTCACCAGCATCTTGTAGTCTATCTGCTGCCGGATCAACTTGTCCTCGCTCAGGGAGTAGCGTGCCTCGCCCGTGATGGCATCAATGGGGCCCTTCTCCATCTGCTGCTTGATGGCACAGTACAGCATGAAGAGAGGCTCCCCTGCACACTCCTGTAGCAAGAGGCAAGCAGGCCATTAGTCTGCAGCCAGGACCCCAGTGGCGTCCACCCGTGCCCACTCTCCCCCACCCTTCCAAGACCTCTGTACTGTTCCCACAGGAGAAATGAGCAACATCTCCAAATTTCTGTATGAAGGCAAGTAGAATCCTGATTTCAGAACCTAACAAAGACTATGAAAGAGAGTAAGTTAAACAACAGACCCACTGCCCCTATGAAAGTTGATGTGAAAATCCCAACGCAACCTTAATAGGGAGTGCCAGGAGTGTATCGAAGAACACGATGTGGCCAACCAGGCTTTATGCAAAGGAAGACTAAAGCCCTGAAGTCTCGCCAGCTCAGGTCTCAGTGTGTCTATAGTCCCAGTCCCCAGCAATGCTCTAGCACCCCACTAACTGAAACCTGCTGAGGTACCAGCATTGGACCATGGCACAGGTAGACGCTGTACCCATGTTGGTTGTCAGGGCTGGGATCCCCACGCCTGCAGGCAGAGGGCTAACCCCTCTGTTATTTGAGAGGTGCAGACACACTGACCCAGGGCAGTTCACCAGCACTGAGGAGAGAGCCAAGGCCCTGGAGGGCAGCATCTGGGCACTGTGTGAAGGTATACCCTGCCCCCATCCCTGACCATCACCCTTAAGCTCCCCATACTACAGCCCTGAAAGCTTCTCCAACCACCTAGTGTCCCACCTCAGGGCCTTGGCACCTGATGTCACTACAGCCAGAAATCTCTTCCCCGGGTCTTTAGTGGCCCTTCTGGACTCCACCCAATTTCTCTTCTCATAAAGGCTCTCCCTTACCACCAGGCCAATGCTGTTGGCCCTCACTGCTACCAGGGTCCTGCTATAATACCCAGCTTTTGCTACTCTCTTTGATGTCTTCTCTCAGCTGGAGTGGAAGCTGCCTGAGGGTCAGGGTACAGCTGGCTCACCTACATTATATTGCAATGCCCACCACAGAGCCTGTACATGCACGGAGCTCCAGCTATTACTGGACAACAAATGCCATTAGTGAAAAGAGTTGTCAAAGGGAGAGGCTGATACCCTTACAGCAAAGTGAAGAAAGCTAATGTCAGAGGCTTGCCAGTCTCATTTGCCCCAGGGCTGCCTCCAACTGCAGGTGCCACACCTTGAGGGGCCAAACTTGCTATGTCCTTTATCACTCACTTCTGTGACATTTAGGTACGCTACACTGAGTATGGGTTACTTTTCTAGTTAAATTTTTGTTTGTTTATTTTTAAAGACAGCAAAGAGTGAAAGAGATTTGGGTTGTTTAAAAAAATTTTGCACAACACTAAAAAGATTCAGTTACCAAGCCATAAAAAGACATGGAGAAACCTGAAATGCACATTACCAGTGAAAGAAGACAGACTAACAAGGTTGTATACTGTATGATTCCAAGTATAGGACATTCTGGAAAAGGCAAAACTGTGGACACAGTAAAATATCAGTGGTTGCCAGGTGAACAGGTGGAGCAGAGATCTTAGGGCAGTGAAACTACTCTCTAATACTGTAATGATAGATACATGTCACTATCATTTGTCCAAATCCACAAAATGTACAGTACCAAGAGTGAACTCTCACATGAAGTATGAACTATGGGGGTAATATTATGTCAGCATACATTCATCGACTGAAACTAAGGTACCACTCTGGTGAAGGATGTAATAATGAGGAGGCTGTAAGAGGGAATGAGATATATGGAAAATCTCTGTAATGTCTCAATTTTGCTGTAAAACTAAAAATGCTCTAAAAAAATTTAGTCAAAACATGGACCCATGGAAAAAAAACTGTTCTGTTTGTATTTGTATGAGATGGTGAATGTTAACTAAATCTGCTGTGGCAATCGTTTCATAAAATATGTAAATCAAACCATCATGCTATATGCTTTAAACTAATACAGTGACATGTCAATTACATCTTAGTAAAACTGGAAAAGAACTACTACAGTGAGGTTGTCTCTCAGTACCCACAGTGACTGGTTCCAGGACCTCCCCCATGACAAACTCCACAGATGCTCAAGTCCGTTATATAAACAGGCATAATATCTGCATATAACCTACAGACATCTTCCCATTTATTTTTATTACCTCTAGATTACTTATAGTACCTAATACAATGGAAATACTGCGTAAATAGTTGCTTTACTATACAATTTAGAGAATAATGATGAGAAAAAGTCTATACCTGTTCAGTACTGACACAACTATCATAAGTTTAACTATACAGTAACACACATAAAAATGTTAACATCTTTTTTTCTTAATATTTTTGGGTTGGTTGAATCCATGTATTTAGAACCCACAGATACAGGGGGCTGACTGTATACTGTGAAAAAACCAAAACAGAGTGTGGCACAGAGAAGTCAGTGGACAGGAGCAGTCTGGGCCAGCTTCAGGTACCCCTCCTGCTGCAGACAAATGTCAGCATGGCTAGTCCACCAAATGGCCCTAGGACAGTTCCTCCTGACCAGCATTTGTCCTCACCCATATTGTGAGAGAAAAACATGATCTGGGAGTAAAGGAATGTTCCAAGCAAATTGAAGCACACCCTGGCCCTACTCAGCTCCTTCCATGGAACCCACTGGGGAAAACGAGGGTGGGCCAGTCAGCTTGACCCAGGGATCCCAACTCTCTGTCTTCCCCTTCCCTAGAGCCCTCCTTCCTGCTCCCTTGGCCTGTCCCAGCCTCCCTCTCCCTCTATCCATTACCTCACCCAATCCTTCATAAAGTGGCTCCTATGCCCACACTCACCTGACACCTCAAGCCCACAACTCCCTGACAAAAGAGCCCACTCAGTCATTCTGCTTTCGACGTCCCGTGTCAGTCCCCACCTGTCCCACTTCCTGCAGCTTGACCCTCCACGCAACATTACACAGAACATACACCTAATCCAGGTGCTCAGACTGGGCTTGTCAAGCTGAGTCCCCTTTCTCTGCCTGGGGAGACCAGGGAACAGACAGGGGTCAGTGAGGCTAAGAAAGCTGGAACCCAGTGGTTCATGTTCTCTAACACGATGGACTTCCAGAATGCAATTTAATGACGATGTAAATTCATCATACTGCCCCACAGAATTTCACAGGAAATGCACAACTTCGTGTTACTGGCTCCCAGTTCAGCATAAAAAGAACCTCGGCCCCAGCCTCTCTCCCTTGCCCCATAACCATACCTCACACCCACCTCAGAGCTGTCACTCCCTCTGCTTTGCTAACTCCTCCTCTTCCTTGCTTAAACCTCACCCACCTCCTTGACATGCACTCCTTTTTCACATGTCCTGATTCCCATTCTCTCTCCCCAGCCAGGCAGGAATCTGCTCTGGGCACCTCTGAGCCACTCTGTGTAGAGGGCTGAAGGCCACCCAGGGGGGCATCCCCAATTCAGTAAGGACACAGGGAACAGAGGTCCATGGCTAAGAAGCAAACATGGAGATGTGCAGGTCACTAGGTTCCACTGCCCATCACGCTGTCCATCCACAGAGCATCTACAGAGGTCAGAGAAATGAGATGGAAGCACGGTGAACATATACCCTGCATTTGGCCCAGGGGGCCTCACTGCTCCACCTCAGAACATCTGCCAAGCCTTCAGATTTCAAGGGAAGCCAGTTATCTCCAGAATGATCTCCTACTTTCTAAGCGCAGCCCACAGGATCCATTTGGACCCATGTCTAGCCTGAAGTGGCAGTTTGCACCCTCTGGCCTCCTCCCCATTCTGAGGACAACCATAGGTTAGGACCTGTCTTCTAGGATGAGGGACTTTCCTTAGCCTGAACAGGGACATGTATATGTGACCCTTCCCCTCAATAAGAGTGAATAGGAACCCCCAGACATCTCTGCAGTCTGGCCCAGTATTGGGTGCTGAGCATATGGAGGCTCCCGCCAGGGTGTCCCCCTTCGTCCTTAGGTCCAGGACATGAACACAGTGCAGAGACCTAGTCCTATATCCAACTCCAGCTCAGCCACACGATGGCTATGGGGCCCAATAGTGTTTGCCTCAGAGCTGGGGTGTCCATTCCTGAGTCTGAGGCTGGGTGAGGCCTGGACAGCCTCATGGAGAGTCAGGAGAGGGACAAATGGGTGTATGTCCTTCAAGAGTCCATGCTGAGGCCCCAGCTCCCTCTAAGCCATTCTGGACTGCGACTGTTCGTCTCTGGTCTCCTCCTTTCCTCACACCTGTCAAAATGTCCCTAACATTCTCTTAATATTCTCTCCTTGCCAGCCCACCTACCTTGAGAAATTTGTACAAAAGGAAGGTGAACCAGTTGGTCAGCATCTTCTCTGCCACTGACTCGGTCCTGGAGAGATACAGGCAGGCATGACATAACTCCCACCACCACCAGGCCCACACGACATGCCCACCTCCACTATCCTCTCCTTCCTACAGCACTAAATGTCAGGCATTGAAAGGCACCCATGAATGCTAAGCAGCTAGGGGAGATCCCAGCTCTCGGCCCCAGAGCAGGTCTCTGAGTATGACTCATGCCCAGCACTGACAGCCCGAGTAGAACCCCACGCCCGGGACACCTGGTCCCCACTACCAACGTCTGCTCAAAGGGAGTTGATGCTTCTTCCAGAACCACAACATTACAGTCCCTGGGGCAAGTACTCAATGGGGCCTTCAGTGTCTACAGGAAGTGTGGGCTCACCGCCGCAGCAACAGCTTGGGGTGGTTTTTGCTCTCCAGGTTCTTCTCAATGAGGTCAGACAGCAGCTGCTTGAGCACGCCTGTGGCATACTCCATCTCACCCTGCAGAGCCGTCATGATGAGTGAGGCCACATTCCCACGGTCACGCATAGAGAAGCTGCGCTGGGCCTCCAGTGTGCGGATAAAGGTCAGCAGGAAGTGCTTCTTTGTCAACAGCTGACCAAACAAAGTCAGTGATTTCTCCACATTGGCCTGCACCTAGGGAGGTTGGGAGCTTGCTCAGACCCACAACAGAGAACACAGTTCCATGACAGTGGAGAGATGAAGGGAAGGGCTTCTGGAGGAGGGGCTGTCCAAACCAGGTATACAGGGGAAGGGCAGGGCCAGAATGCAGGTCTCAGAGGCCAATGACATCATCCTGACAGGTGTCCAGGCCTCAACTGTCCTCAGCAAAATGGATGTAGCTTGGCAGCTGCCTGAGAAGCCCAATCCAGGCAGAGACCCAAGCATACTAGCATCAGTGAAGGGTACAGAAATCATCTTGCCACTTCAGGGAAGACTTCCCTGAAGTCCAGTGGAGAAGGAGGCTTATTTAGGGCCACATGGTATGGAGGTGGAAAAAAAGTTAGAATGTAGGCATGGCTGGCTCCGGGGTCCCTGGCTCTCTCATCTGTATCAAGGCTTGTCAGACAGAAGGTTCCTTACCAGGCTGTGCCAGAAGTTACCAGTAACACCTGGCTCCCAGCACAGGCAAAGGAAGACCCAATAAAAGGAAGACATGGAGTTCCCGAGGTGGCAGCAATCCCAGGGAATGCCCTGGGCCCAAGCCAGAGTGATAAGAAAGCCCTTTCAGGTTCAGTTTAAGAGGAAACATCCCACCAATGGAACTGCACAGGGTGAGTAGGCCTTCCAACATGTGAGGTATGCATATGGGATGCCTTTAGCCACGGAGTATAACAGAGCCAATCTGCAGAGCCCTGGCTATTCCTAACTAGGAACTGGGCTCCTAGCCTGCTGTGGGAAGCCTTTAGAAGATGTATTGTGCCAAGAGACTGGGCTCTGCCAACGTCTTCAGAAAAAAGCCCTGCTCTCTGAAGGCCTCCATGCTGCCTCAGGCACGTGTTCCCACCCTAAAAAGCCACAAGAATTCCAGCTGGGCACTTACACCTCCCAGTATACATGGGCTGGCATTTAGAACCACCCAGGAGATAGGGCAGGTGAGCTATAGGGTGTAAAGAGATGGACTAGAAGACCCCGAAAAACAAAGACAGCCCTAAGGAGCCCAACCATGGGGGTGGTTTGCTGGGGTATGGTCTCCCCCAGGCTCCTGCCCACCCTTCCTCCTTGCTTCCCAGCTCCCCTCCCTGTATTCACACCATCCCTCAGGACCCTTCAACTCCCTGCAACACCTATAGAGCCCCTCAGGCAAGTGCTAGATGTGCCCCAGACAACAGCCCACCTCCATTTCCTTGAGCACTGGATGGTCCTCAATCCCTGGGAAGAGCACCCGCATGGCGTACGTCCTGTAGTCGAGGAAGGGGATGCCAGCACCATCCAGGTCGTTGGTCAGCTCATGGATGTCTGTCTGCAGCTCTGCAAAAGCTGCAGCCAGACCGGGTATTAAGGCAGGTATCGCTGGCCCACGGGCTTCCCCTCAACTCTGGGCCAGGCTCAAACACTGGCTCTGCTGCTTGCTGGCTGGGTGACCTTAGGAAACTACTACACCTGCCTGTGCCTCAGTTTTCCTAGTCCTAATACAGGGATAAAACCCTCTGTTTCTCTGAGTTGTCAGGGGATTAGCTACAAGAAGAGTAGAGAGGGCTCTGGGACAAGGTCCAGGTTGTAAGGGACCCCCATACCTCACAGTGGCATTTGGCAGTGGAGTAACTATGGGTGCCAGCTCTTCCACCCACTGCCTGCCCTGGCTCCCCCAGACCCAGACACCTGGGAAGACAAGGGGCAAGTCCAGCTGAGGGAGATGACAGGGGCAGAGGTACCAAGACCCAGGGGCTATGGGCTGTCCCCAAGCTTCCCAGTCCTCCACATTGATAACCAACAAATGCACAACTCAGGCCAGCAGACCCTTTACACTGCCCACTCCAGGAGGTTCTACCCCTTTTAGAAGCAAAGCAGGCAGGGGCAGGCCCTGACAGAAACATTCCATAAATGTGAGATATTGACACTGCTGCAGCCCAAGGGATGAGCTCTGTGATCAGGAGCCACAGGAGCGCCTGGTGGGCTCTGGGCAAAGGCTGACAGGTTTAATTGAAAGCTAGGTCTTCATCTCTTCGGCACAGCTGCCGGGTGTCTGACTATTTCTACCTGGCTGCCCAGAAGTGCCTACCAGCTGCTGTGCCTACATGTGTCTACAGATCAAGGCTTTGCACACACCCACCTCAGTGGACAGCCATCCTTGCCTCACTGAAGGGTCCTGCCTGTAGAACTCCCCTCCGGTCACTGCACACCTGCCCATGTCCTACCAGGACTGCCCAGTGGGCAGGCAGGTATGTCTGGGAGTGAGGGGGCTCCCAGGACAGGCAAGATACTTAGCAAACAGATACTCTTGTCCCATTGGAGATAACAACCTGTTGCCAGGTTCGTTAAGGCCACAAGGCCTGCACGCCATGGTTCAAAACCCACCTAGCTACTTAGTAGCCTCCTTTCCTTATTCAAAAACAGGAATACTGCTAGCCTCTGTCTTCCAGAATTACAAGCATTCACTTATCTCTACCTGCAAAATGCTCAAGGTTGAACCTAGCACCTCACAAGCATCTCATAACTGATGATTATCATCAGTGCTGCTCTGTTCACCCCTTGTAACAGCTGCAGACCCCTCAGGTGAGACTCCAAGATGCGCACACAGTCCAGGACCATGAGTGGGTGGAGGGAATCACAGGCTGCACTGTGGCTGCTGGGGACCCAGCCCTGACACACCATCTCGCACTAAGCTAGGGAAGCCAGCGATTATGAGCCAAGGCTGCTGTCTGCTGCCTTGAGCCCAAAGGCACATGCATGGGAGATGAACCCTACGCTCAAGTGGCCACTGTGCAGGCCCCAGCCCACAGCCCCAGCACCACCTCCCTGCTGCCAGTGCTCAGTCCCATCTACCCAACCAGCAGCAGTGCCCTCAGCTCTGCCAGATATGAGCTAGGGCCTTGGGCACACTGACCTTCCTTTGACACATTAGACAGAGATGGGCAGCCCCTGGGGATGCCCTCTGTTCCAGCTTGCTGACCCCCTAGCCCAACTGTCACCCATTTCTGATGTCTGCAGCCTCTGCCTGCCAGAACCCCTCCATTCTCTGGACCACCTTCACCTGCTCTTGGGGTCCACCCACTTTCTCTCAGGGGCTTCAAGGACACAGGCTTGGGAGGCATGTGAACAGATATGACAACAACAATTGGACAGAGTTGGGCACAGTGGGGAAGCTGAACTCACCCACTGTGGCTATCTTGTCACCACAGGAAGAGAAGAGCCCTGAGACAAGGGACTCCTGACAGGCTTACATTCTGGAAGCCAGCATACCCTTCACTTTCCCTGCAGAAGCCAGTCAGAGCTGATTTTTCTCACTCATACCCCAGGGTCATAATGTACACATGCCCCATCTTAAAAGGACGGACTGTAGCCTTGACTCCCTGGGAAAGGGCTCCTCAAGGACAAATGCCAGTTCAGATCTGGGTCCGCATGTGCCAAGGGATAAAGAAGAGGCCCCACTCCTCACCACCACACTTGACCACACACATGCAGCCACCACCACATCAGCACTAGTATGCATGCTGCAGTGCCCTGCAGGCTCTGCACAGGCCATCTGGATACTCACAGCACCCAGTGAAGTGGGCATCAGTACTGCGCCCATTCTACAGATAAGGAACCAATACACAAAATGGTTAAGTGTTCATCTAAGGTCCTACAGCCGAGCTGAGGCTCAGATGTGGGCTCTCTAGCTAAGGAACCTGTGCTGTAAGCAGCACCCCACAGAAGCTGTACCTCCTTCATGGCCCCAGTCCCGTCGGTCCTGCCTCCTCTCTGGGATCAAACTTGGCATAATGAGGCCATCAGAAATGTTGCAAACTCAGTAAAGTTGGCAGGCAGGATAGGCCCTGGCTATCCTACCATTGGGCCCTGGCGTAGAGGTAGCAGCACCCTCTATGAGCCCTGTAACCCTGAAATCAGCCCCCCATTTTCCCTGTGCCCACAGCCCCAACAGACCTTCCTTGCATTCAAGGGCCACACGGGACTCCAGGTTGTCCATCTGGAGCTGCAGCCGCTTGAGGGTGCGGTCGGCATCTCGTGACTTGCGCTTATAAGCGATGAGCACGACCACGATGACCAGCAGCAGGAGGCCCCCGCCCCCACCGATGCCCACAATGGCGGGCAAGGTCAGCAGGCTGTCTGAGTACACCTGCAGCATGCCCGGCGAGAACTCGAAGCCACCAGCCCGAACCTGGGGATGGGGATGCAGGCTGCTCAGAAAGTGACATGCCCACTCTGAGTATCCTGGCCCCACAATCTCAAGATCCCTATAGCATCTGTCCCTGGCCAGGACTATTCAGCAGGGATGAGAACACAGGGGGCCCAGGGTAGGTACTAGGACCTCCAATGGGCTCAAGGACTGGGTGAGGGCCAAGTTGGGGCTTGCACGAGAGTTGGGCTCCCTCTGGGCAGGAGGCCAGCCTGGGGCTCAAAGAGTTGGGGTTGCCCTGGGTGGGACTGGGTCAGCAGATCAAAGGCAGGAGGGACCCAGTAGACCATTGCCGGGGCTGAGGCACAGATGGCCTGGCCATGAACGTACCGTGACCTTGTGCTGCCCTGTGAGGTTGGGTGACTCGCATAGCAGCTGTGTCTCTGACACTGTGAGAGTGCAGGGCGTAGAGCCGATGAGCACCGTGTAGTTGAGCCTCAAGTTGCCAGGTGCCGGTGGCAAGAGATTCCGCCCCTGTGGGGGTTGGGATAAGCCAGAGAACATCATCAGCCTTGCTTCCTCACCTGCACCCCCACCCAGTCACCCCCACCCACACTCTAGCCCACTGACTAAGGCCAACCTTGAGGATGAGAGGGGAGCTGGGTTTCAGCTCCAGGAGGCCAGTGGGGCTGAGTGGCTCCAGCACAGGGTCAGGAAAATAGAGGAACGAGGAGGTGTTGAGCACAAGCAGGGCACGAACGTCATCCATGATAAAGCCCAGCTCTTCAGGCCGCTCCCCCAGCTCAGGTGGGGTGCGGGAGGGATTGTCCACTGATGGGGCCCGGCACACCATGGTGGTATCGTTGTATACCAGGCAGCTCTGGGGACACAGGTGAGGAGACACTGGGCTGGCTGCTCTGCACATGGAGCCAGGCCCTGGCAGGGCCAAGGGGCTGCAGCTACATATGCACACCCAGAGGCCAGGGCCAGCTTCCTTCCCTGGAGCCTCCAAGCACAAACAACCACAGCCCTAGGTAGCTCAAGCTGCATGGGGAGGGGGCAGCGCAAGGACTCACGTTCTCCCTTTCGACACCTCCGTACTTGGCCCGGATACGGGGTTCTCGGATGGTGGCCAGGTTGGTGCCTGTGACTGTTAGGAGTGTCCCTCCACTAGAAAATGAGGGAATGAGTGGTCATGGGGTGAAGCTCTCTGCCCTGGCCCAGCACAAACAGGTGGAACAAGACACACCACCCAGCTTCACAGAAGACATAAGCAGGTCACAACCTTTCAGCACTGGACCCTGGATTACAGCAACCACATCTCAGAATGGGTCCAACATCCTGAGAGCTGCAGCTCAGACGCCTTATCTTTGTTTTTTGTTTTAAGAGCACAGCATCAGAAATTAGAGGGACTTTTCCTTAACATGATTTCCCAGGTTGCTGCATATAGAGCACAAGAGTGACCAAAATCTTAACTTTTGCTGTTTCTACTCCCACCCAGGGATAGACCCAGTGGGCAGTATAGTCAGGGTGTGACTACCCCCTGCCCAGCTCTGAGTCAGGACCACCACTGTAAGGAAACTCCACCAGAGATGCAACTGGTTCCTCCACACAATGAGAAAATTTGGTGGCAGGGCCACATAAGGAAGGAGAGGAGAACCTAGTGCAAGAGCTCCGTCCTTGGCAGCATCACATGGATCATTGGGGCTAGGGATAGGCTGAGGCAGCCCTACCTGTTGATGCTCCACTCAGGATCAATCTTCAGAATGGTGGGGTCCTCGGTATAGTTGTACTTCACCTCGGGGTTGGTAAGCTGAGCACGGTTGATGTTGATGATGATGGGGGCACTACCAGGGCTCTGCCCGGGGGGTGTCAGACACCGGATCTCTCGGGAATTCCTCCTGAAGGGGTCAGGTGGGACAGTGAGAACATGGGTGGTGCAGCTCACTTCCCAGGTGGCCTAAGCTTCTAGGCTCCAGTGCAAACAGGCATGTGGTCAAGTTACTCCCCAGGCCTCACCTGCCCATTTGTAAAACAGGGCCACACCAGGACCTGCCCCCAGGTGGCTGATGACTATTACAGCCACCTTCCCATCAGCCCCTCCAAAAGGCCAGGTGAGTGTCTGCCCACCTTGGGTTCAAGCCTGGCCCTCTCCTTCCGAACTGCCTTGCTTGGCATTCGAGGCCCTATCTGACTGAAACACCAGCTGAAGGGCAAGGGGCAATCCTGACTGCCCCAGCCACTCTTCAGGTGACCCAGCCATGTCCATGCTTGAACTTATGAGAGCCCAGCCTAGGCAGGCACAACAAGCAGGCCTGCTGGATGAGAAGGGAGCTCAAGGGGCCTCAGCTCAGCCTTGCAGCAGCCCAGGGATGGGTAGCAAAACAGAGCCTTGACCATCCTACCTGCTACGGTACTCCTCCACTTAGCCTATAGCTTCTGGTGACAAGAGAGCTGGAGTGCCAAGCTCAGTGCCAACTCTTGCTATGCTCAGTGGTGCACTCGCCTCCCTGATGTGAAACTGGGGCTAACCCTAGGCCTGGACCATGAGTAGGCAACATGAGCTGGCCAGAATAGGGGAACTGGGCTACCCCCACTGGGCAGCCAGCCAGTCACTGCCTACACCTGGGTACCCATTTCCTCAGCTCTTTCAGCACAGCTGGGAGGCCCCACAGCCGCCACGCCCTCAAGCACAGCAAGGCTGCAAACACCAATAATTAGTCTGATAATGGGTAATTACCATAGGAAAATATTTAAAGGGCTGTTTCATTATCATCCCTAATCTAAGATTATCCACTTCAAGCCTCGGGGCTTTTGTTAGCATTTTTTTCTCTCTTCAAAATTTTTAAAAACATACATTCCAAAGGAATCCCCCAAACTGAGGACAGGGTCAGGACAGGGTGACTGTGCCTACCCCTTGGGCTCAGGCCCTGCCCATCTGCCAGGTCTGCCTACCTGCCCTTTCTACTCTGAGGTAACCTGTATCCATGGTAACCTCTCACCACTGGTTTCCATAGTGATCACCCTGGCCAGTCTCTCCACATTCCCCTTGTTTCCCAGGCAACAGGAGGGGACACGCAGCCATCTGAACCAACCACCACCAAGAGAAGGTGGGCCATGCCTACCCCATTCACCCGAAGCCCATCCACACCCCTTACCAGGAGAAGGAGCAAGGCCGGCCACCAACAAACACGGCCACATCACTGCCTGCATTTAGATGGCTGCCCTCAATGCCAATCCACGTGCCCCCTGAAAGAGGTCCCCGGGCAGGGCTCACACGGTAGAAGGTTGGAGTCTACAGAAAGAAGAAATTTGCTGGAGCTGCAGGAAAGGCCTACCCCTTGGCCCAGGAAACTGCTTGCATACCCAGCCTTACCCAGGCCCTGTGCTCATGGGCTCTCAAACACAGCCAACAGACAGGGCCCAAAGTGCCTAGGGGAACCCGGAGTCAGGTCTCTGAGGAGAGACCAGGAGCAGAGGTGTTGCTGCATGAGGGGGCCCAAGGGAGGACAAGAAGCCCACCTGCCGAGACAGACCTCACAGCCCCCTGAGGCCTCATGGGAGGAGAGGGTCCTGGGCTAGGTGGGTTGGGGCTTACCACAAAGGTGAAGCGTTTGGGTGACAGGGCCCGAAACTGGGGGGAGCAGTCCCGCACGCACACCTCCACCAGGGCGTCATGGGCTCGCAGTGTGCTGGCATCTCCAATCTCACAGACGATCCTGTGGGGTATCAGGGGTCTCAGCAGGCTGCAGGGTCCAGCATGGGTGTCAGTGACTCCCCTACCTATCGTGGGTGGTACTCACTGCTCAGCGCTGATGTACTCGCTCTCCACAGGGCTGCACAACACCTTGCCCACACGCACACCCAGCCGCACGTCCTCGAAGCGCAGGCCCAGGTTCTCACCCATGATTGTGAGCCTCGTGCCTCCTTGCCGTGGACCAGTCTCTGGGGACAGCTGTGGGGAGACAAGAGGCTGGGAGGCCGAAGCCAGCCAGGGCCATCCCAGGCCAGGAGGAACTGCACAGGGGAAGTAGCTGGGTGAGCAGAGCTCTCATTGCCCTCAGTAGCCTGAGAGGCTCACCTACCTTGAAGATCTTGGGGTCAGCACAACGGCTACTGCCATGGTGGGCATGCATCCAGGTGGCAGGTGAGTCAGCAAGGCAGTGGGGGCGCAGGGAGCAGCGGCGCTCGGCAACGCACCAGCCGCACTCAAATTGAGGGTCAGCTTTGAGACAGAGGCCACAGCTCTCCCGCAGAGCTGGGCACTTGTAGAGGTGGGCTATAGGGAAAAACATGGTCAGCTCTACCCAGTTACAGCCCTGCCCCCAGGGGCCTCCCCACCTGGCTCACCCTGGATGTTCTGAGGGTTATCAATGATGAAGTTGCCATTCCACACCACCGACAGGTTCACAGGCAGGTCGCTGATGTCATTGCCCTCGTAAGAGTACTGCGGGCAGTATGCAGAGCAGTGAGGCAAGACCTCAGGGGGCAGGTCAGGGCTTGTGTACCCCCCTCCTGGCCACCCTGGGACTGGATGCTGGGAGAGAGCTTGACAAAGCAGGGCCTGGAGGCTCTGCCTGCCCAGACTGGCATTTCCAACCTAGAGCTGGATACCCAACAGAAACACCTGCCCATCAAGCAACCTGTGTATCTAAGCCTCTCCTGCCACACCCAACTCTACCTCTGAACCCCCAACCAATGTCTTCCTTCCTGATGGCCATGGTCCCTGCTTTGGCAGGGGCCAAGCCTCTGCCCCCAGCAGCACATGAGGTGCACCCTCTAGTCAGGGGTGTCAAACTCACTTTAACCAGGGGCCACATTAACCTCAAGGTTGCCTTCCAAGGGTCAAATGTAATTTTAGAATGGTATAAATGTAACTACTTAACTGTTAAGTGAGAGCTTGGTACTGCCTCTGGGTAGAAATAAGGTGCCAGGCCAGATAAAACAAGGTGGAGGGCTGGATTTGGCCCACGGGCCTTGTGTTTGCCACCTGTGCTCTAGGTTAACTTCTCTACTTCCCCCTGTAGTCAGTCTCACCAAGAAATCAGGACTTCCCAGCTGAATCCCTTGGATACCTGTCAAAGACGCTCTGTGAACCTCCATTTCTACACCTGCCAACGATCTCAGTAATCCCTACACTGGGACTACCTTGAGGTGCAAGCTGTGTGCCCCCATCCCCTGGCAAGCTCTTTACCATAGACTGGTAAAGAGCACTGTCAGGTAAGGCCCAACTGCAACTACTTCCAGGCTCAGAAACACTGCCCCTTCCCAAAAGCCCCGGCCTAGCACTTCCAGCTGTGCCCCACTTTCTGAGGTCCTCCACTCCATCCCAGAGCAATTCATTATTACTTCATCTGCAGGAATTTAATTGGATCCTATCACACTCCCTGATACTCCCTTTTCCCTTTAAAAATGGCTACAGAAAAGATAAATGTAAGCCTGGTGAGGGGGAGAGGCAGAGGGGTTGAGAAATGTAGGGAAAGAGGTGACAGAGGCTCAGGAATGATGAAGAAATAAGGACACAGAGAGACATACAGATGACCTTAGATGGAGAGGAAGGAAATGGTAGATACAACTAGGCCGGTGAGTCACAGAGAAATACAGGTGAAAGGAATGGGCAGCAGAACTCAGTGATATAGCACAACAGAGAGAAATGAAAGGACAAGACAGGCAGGACAGCACAAGGAATTCTAGGGCCAGGCGGCTGGATGACCTGCCCCTAGGAGCCTGCTATGGCCCCCAGCCCCAAGCCACGCTGGGAAAGCGAGGTAAACCAAGGGGTCATCATCACTGGCAGGGGGCCAGACCTCTGCCTCAAGGCCCTTCCCCTGAAATTTTAGGGGGTGGGGGCCAAACACAGGCCTCAAAGAGGACACAAAGGCACCACCCACCAACAGGGCCTCACCCACTGCAGAAAACCTCCTGCTCTCCTGACTACATTCTTCCTGAACAGATGAGGAAAACCAAGGCGTGCTAGAGACCATGGAAAGAGCTTGGGCCTCTTGAGACCACAATTCCCTCCCACCCACCAGGGAAGGTTTTGGCTCTGCAAAGATCACAGTCACTAAATTCACTGGACTTGATAAAAAGCTTTAAAAATGTCACCATATTAGATTCAAGGCTCTAAAGGCAGCTGCTTTCTTGGCATTTGGACAATAACCCCCTGCTCGTGTACAAATGCATGCGCCACTACAAACAGTTCCTGTGTCTGGCCACAGGGGATATAAAAGGAGCTGAGTGCCTGCGCACTACCACCCTGGCCTAAAGCCCTCCCAGAAGCACTGGGTGGTGACAGCATGTGGGTGTTTCCCCACACCTTCAATCTGGCCTCCTCACCCACATTTCTAAAAATTCCATGCAAAGCCATGTCTGCATATCCCAGGAGATCTAAATTGCCCACTCCCATGTCTGAGATGCGCTCCCTCCAAAGATTTGGTTGACTCTTGGAAGTGCCCTAGCTGCACACCCAGGCATACCTGAAGGGCGTGGCACTCAAAGTAGCTCTGAACCCCTGACTGTGCCCTGTCCTTTCACTCATGAGCAGAAACCGGATACTAACACTGTAAGTATGGTCATCTTAATCTAGCAGCAGGAGTACCCAAAAGGCCCCTGGCCAGCTCCAGACAGCCTTACCGAGGAGTTTTGACACTGCAGGCTAGAGCTGTTGAAGCGCAGGGCAGTGACACGGGCTGGGCTTCCCGGGATATGAAAGAGACACTCGTATCCACGCTGGCCGGACTGTGGCTGTGGCAGGTTCCGGGCAGTGAGGGTGATAGGCTTCACCACACCCACTGGCACGTAGATCTGGGTGGAGGGCAGGATCTGCGGGCAGTCCTGGGAGTGACAAGGCTTCAGCTGAGCACAGAGGAGGGGGCCAGTGAGCCTGGTATAATCCTACTGTGGCCCAGACTGTGCTTCTCCAGTAGGCACCACTGTGCCCAATTTATACACCAGCAGACTGAGAACCTCAGAAACAGTTCAACCAGAGTCAGAAGGCCTGGCTTCTAAACTTACCAGGCTGTGTGGCTACATTCTGTGACCTGGGCTGGACCTGCCTCCTCTGGGCCCAGACTGCCCTCCCTGACTAGTGTCCTAAGACTCTACCATATGATGACCAAGGGGCCCCATCTGGCCCACAGCTGAAAAGGCCCTTGAGACAGAAGCAGGCAAGAGTTGGGTACTGGGGCCATAAGCTCTGCTGGGGACCTGAAGAGCATGTAAAAATAGCCAGGCAGAAAAACAGTCAGGGCCCCCAAGGGCCAACATTTCTGCAATAATAACTGATGCAAGGGCCCAGATCCCTTGCAGCACACTGATAGCAGCCACAGGAGAAGACAGCCCCAGGGGCATATCAACAAGCTGGGCTTTAAATAGAGATGCTGAAAACAGGTCGTAATCCCCAAGGCCTACAATATCTCCCAACATGGTGCAGGCCCAATCCTGGCTCTGTGGAGGTTTTGGAGCCCTTAAGGGACACTGGGGGAACAAAGCCAGCAAGGTATGACTAGGCAGCATGACCACTTACCCTGAGTCTACAGGGTACCCTTGTCTCCACCAAGGAGAAAGATAATGGTGATATGTAGGGGGGCCCACCAGCCATGCACTCAGGGGCCCTCACCTATGCCAGCACTGTCCTAGCCATTTGGAGGGGTGCCCCAGCCCAGCCCCAGGCCAAGGGATCTTCCCAGGGCTTTCCCAGACCTTGGCTGTCCTTCCTGGAACCCATAGCAGCCCTGGCTCATCCTGGCCACCAGGACTATTCTTACTGTCACCCCATCTCATACCTCCACTCTTCATAGACACTATCTCAGCTGATCAGGAGGCCAGTGTCACTGACAGGGTCTGTGACCCCTGCCTAGTCTCTCTGGCTGGGCCCCAGCACTTGGAGACCTCAGGCATTTAGAGGGGTCAGTTCAGGACTCCTTTCTGGCCCAATGAGTGACTTGAGACCAGGCTGAGCTGGAAGACAGATAGTGTGGAACAGTGGGGCAGGACTCTTCCTTGAGGGTACTCCTTCCAGTGGGGTAGAAAACCAAGATACTGCTGAGTGAGCATGCTCCTGAATGAGAGGTGTCCCTAGAGGAGCCAAACCTAAACCAGAGATTGGAGGGGGAAGCCTGGGCTGAGAGCCTGAGTCCTCCCAAACAGTGGGATTTGTTCAGGCTGTGGATATGTTATACTCTTTATAAACACAGGCATAAAACCTAGGACTACAGTTTAAGAGGAGTATCTGTGGTATAAATCCATCCCCAATAACCCTCCATGGACACACCATTGTTCCCAGCTCAGCACTGCATGGGCAAATGCCTCAGGAGGGCTCTGCACTTGCTGCTCACCTTCCCCTGGCCATCAAGGCCTACAACAGTACTCCTGAGGTTCCTAGACCCCAGGGTCACTAACCCCACTGGGATCAGACGCACCAGCTTCCTGCTGCCCCAGGGCCCCTGCCCACCCCAAGGAAACATTTACCCAGCTTTTCATACAGGCCAAACTCCTAAGCCAGTCCACACTGCCCACCCCCTATGCCCATGGCCTTCACATCAGCTGCTCTCACAGACACTGCTACCCCCAGATGCCCCCAGTCCCTGTCCGCTGTCAGCCTGCCCCCCACCACCATCTTGTCTGATTATGTGCAACAAAGGTCCAGAGGGTGATGGTGAGGGGTGACCAGGGGAGGCTCCTCCTGTGAGGAAGGGCCCACAGCATGGCCGGGGCCCTGTGCATGCATTTCCTCTGCGCCAAGACTATCCACAGATGTCCAAGCCAGCTACAGTCCCCAAGTGTCCCACAGCCAACAGAACTCACACCCTCTTGTTTGTCCTACAAACAGGCACTATATCACTGCAAAGGACCCTGGTTTCAAGTTCTAGCTCTGCACTTGCAAGCTGGACATGGCAACCCCTGCCCACTCTCTCCATGCCTGGCAGGTTCCAGGTCTGCCCATCATGGTTCTGAGAGCCCAGGTTCCAGGAGTAGCAGCCCTACCGCTTATAAGTCAAGTCAGTATCTTACCCAGACTCCAAATAATTATAACCTAATTACTATCAGTAACCTAATTACTATCAGATAGCTCCAGGAACTGACCAGCTCCCCCTGCAGGTCAGTCTGACATGTTTCCTGGTTCACATGACACCAGGTCTACCTAGCCAGACACCTCACGCTCCAGGCTCCCATTCCTCTGCATCTACAGTCCCTCCCTACATCATCCCCCAGAGGGGCCCACTGGTCTGAGGCTTCTGTGCCTCCCCTAAAGGTCACAACAAAAAATGTCACTGGCTGGCCTTCGGCCAAGACAGCCATGAAGGATTTCCCCAACTTCACAGACCTTTTGGTTGGCATCCCGGCTATCCACAGGAGCTCTCCCAGGCCCACCTACAGGCAACACCTTGTTCTGCTACAACTCTGAAATGCTGCATCACCCCAAGAGGGCCTTACCTCAGACATGTTGACGCGGCCCTCCAGGAAGGCACAGTCGGCAGCATTGTGTGTACATACGTGGCGGTATTTGCACCAATGGCAGGGGAAGGAGCCATTCACACATGACAGACAGCTGCAAGGAGGTGGTGGACAGTGAGGATGGGCATCACGTGCCTCCCCAGTTGCCACACATAGCCACACAACACCACTTCCCTACTGCTCCTCCAGTGGGTGATCACAGGGCTACCCCAGGGTCTTTGCCCTGGCTGATCCTCCACCTGCTCAGAAACCTTCCCTGTCAGCTGGTCTTACCCACTGAACTGCCAGGTGCTCCCCTCTCTCCTTCACTGCTCTTCCCCAGATCCTCAAAAACCCGACAGTTCACCCCAGAGCCAACACACAGAGCTTTCCTGATGATGGCAAAAGGCTACACTGTCCACTGTGATGACCCCTGGTCACATTAGGACACACATGACAATTACCACTGGAAATGTATTAGTGCATCTAAAGAACTACATATTAATTATACCTTGTCTTAACCTGGATTTAATTTTTTGTGGCTAGCAGCTGCTGCAGAGCTACAAAGAGCTGTGAGAGACATGCACTACCCTGAAGGCTTGGCCTGGCAGGAGCTTATTCTATGTATTCTGACGTATCCCCAGAGCCGGGACAGGGCCCTTTCAGTGCTCTAGCCCCTCCCTGTAGCTTAGTATGATTGGCACCTTGTCTCTACAGCCTCCACAGTCCCCTTGACCTCCAGGCAAATGCCACCAGCTCTCCAGAGGACCTCCCAACCTGCCAGCTACTGGGTTTCTCCTGTCTCAATCCCCTCCAGCTCTGGAGTGCAGACTCCAGCTCCAAAGATTCCAGCCTGCCCAAGACAGAGAGGTCATACCCTGGTGATAACAACACTCAGAACATGTCAACAAAGGCAGGCACAGCTGAGGCTGAATCCCACCATCCCCGCACCCCATGCTGGCCTTTTTAAGGCTGGGCACCCTCCAGGTCAGGGTTGGGGCCGAGAGTGCCCCTCCAGGCTGTGTTTCAGCTCATGGCAGTCCTCAGCCTCGTCTGCTCTTCCTGCTGCTCACAGCCAAGAAAGGCAGGAGACAAGTACCAGGGAGAGCTCCCATCCTGGTTCTCAGTGCCCCAGCCTCTCCACCCCCATCCTCTGACCCACACCTGGAGCAGCATGAGCTAGAGAGGACCCAGACTTCCACCTGCCCCAGAACAGCAAGCACTGAATAGCCTAGCCTGTCCCATGGCATACCATTTCACATCCAGATGATGCAGCAGCCTCCCTCCTCCAACTCCCCAAGCTCCCTGCCTTGCTCTGGTGCCTGTAGGCCATTCCTCACACCAAGGCTAAGGGTAAGATTCTCGAGGTGTAAACAGGTGCATGTCACTCCCCACTACCTCACCTACTCTGACCACTGCCCCAGACTCAGACTCATCTGGACCCTCTGCCCAAGGGGCTGCTCTCACAAGTCTAGCCTCCCCCACTGACCACTGGCCCATGCTGCACCATACCCAGCCCATGCAGGAGGCCTGAAACACTCACGACTGGTGCACACTGCAGTTGTAGAAGACAAAGTCCACGGATGCAAACTTCTTGCCTGTCTCCTTAGATTTCAGGTAGAGTTTCACCACCCGCTGGTCTCCTGTAGGGCAGCACAGGCTCAAATCACCAGAGACACTCAAAATCCCTTCACCCAGAATACCCATGTAGGGCAATCCTGAACAGGAAATGACCTTGCCAATGACCAGCCCAATCACCAAGTGCAAAGACCCTAGCCGTAGCTCAGCTTCTCCGGCTTGTAGACTCCTGAGCATACCAGGTGGTTCCCCAGCATCTTTGCACCTGTGGTCCCTGCCTCCTATCTATACTGCTCCCATTTGGCATCTGTTCTTTCCTTATCATGCTCCTCAATCACCACATAACAACCATTCTCTGTCCCCAACAATGATCTACCTCCCCAGCAGGAGGCCCCTTTGAGCACTGCCCAGACCCAGCTATGGTACACTTACCCTGGCCAAGAGTGATAGGTGCCACCTCCTCAGAAGAAGGTGAGTAGCAGTGGATGCGGCCATCCTCCAGGATGCTTTCAGACTCAGTGAAGTCCTCGAAGGAGCAGTTGACACCAGCTGAGAGGTCGGGCACATTCCAGGCCTGCAGCACAAGCTGGGGCCCACGTGGCAGAAGGTATGGGTGAATGGAGTCCTGTCACCCCACCCATCCTCTAGCCCTTGCTAGGTGGCCACACTCACCGGGACCTGGGACATGGTGACAGAGACGTTTCGAGGCTGCACAGTCAGCTGTACACACTGCAGCAGATCTGAGGCAAAGCGCTGAGGCTCATCTGCCCGCTCGCAGGTGTCCCGACGGGAGCAGCTGCAAGCATAGGAGGCTGGGCTTAGCATGGGCAGGGAGGTCCAAGGAGCAACCCAGCACTAATGCCCTGCTCAGCAGAGCTAAAACCTATACTGGGGAAACCCACCAACTTCACTATACCCCTTCTTTACTGGCATGTAATTGGGTGGGCTGTCACTCAGCTGCTCACAGGAAACTGCCAAACCCAAGGCACCTTGCCCAGGGAAGACCCAGAGGAGCTTGGAGAGAAGCTGTGACCACCTGAGTGCATAGTAAGGCTGTCTGGGGCCCTCCCAGGGCAGAGAGAGCCAGGCCAGGACGTCAGAGTCCTGCTGTCCCCATCTCACCCCAATCCAGACTCACATGCTATGTAGAATACACCAACCGCAGTGAGGGTCCCGAGAGCCCAGGCACAGCTCACATGATGTGTACTGCACACAGCTTTCCACTGGCACTCGTGTCACCTGGGAAGAGAAAATTCTGTTTCAGGTCCCCACCAGGGCCATCCCAGGGACCCCTGGCAGCCTCACCTCCTCAGCACCACTGTGTGCCCCTCTGACCCCATACTCCTGGGACACCCCCATCCCAAGACTTCTTCCAGCTAGGTGTATTCAAAAGCCAGTCCTGTGTGACATGGCCTTGACTGAGTTAGTCCCCTGGAAGCCTAGGGTGGTGACAACCTGGGAGCAAGTTGGTACAGGTAAGTTACCCAGAGATGAACCAAGAGAAAGAGTTATGCTTCCATCTGTCTGGACTCTGAGGTTCCAGAAAGAGCCAAGGCTCCTTGACCTGAATCCTAACCACAGAGAAAGGCTATGCCTGGCTCACCCTGACTTTGCCTGCTTGGCCGTGAAGTCCCCAGGGAGGTAGAAGAACCCAACAGCCAGAGGAGGGGCAGAAGAGAAGCAAGAGCTGACTAAGAAGAAAGGGAAGTCTTGTCCTTCCCATCTGCCTCCCAATCCCCCTTCCCCCAACTGCCATGGTTCACTGGGTAGACCAGAAGGACAAAGCTGACTGCAAGCAGGCCAGACCAGGAACCAAAGCACATGGCCTTGACAGGCTGGGCCAGGCCAGCCACAGGCTGCTGCCCAAAGTCCCCAGTGGGCAGACAAGGCCAGTGCTGAGCCAAGTCATAATCTGAAAACTCAGGGCCCGAGATGCATGCCTCAAGTCCTCCAATAACACCAATACCCATATAATGCTCTCATTCAAATATTTGTTCCTATGAGCATGAAGTCATTCAAGGAGGGGCCAGGAATTCTGTACCTGGCTCAGGAGAACCTAGAGGCAGCACAAACAGTGTGGGCCCACAGCATCATGTGTTGCTTCCTAGGCAGGCCCACCCACATGCACCTGGCAGTGTAGCACCCACCTGCTTTTCTGTCATGGCGTAGAGGTACTGGCGATCGGGGCTGAGGACCAGGTCACGAAGGATAGGGCTACCCTCTTGGGCCACCACACTTTCATAGGCCAGGGCTGGCCAGCCGCTGGGGTTGGCCGGGTCCACCAGGATCTGTGGCAGTGAGGTCCTGAGAGAAGCTATGCCAATGTCTTTATGCCCCAGCCCATGCCCACTTAAGGTGAGGGTCCCAAACCCCTCCCCACATCCCCCCTCCCCCAAAGCCCTAAAAGAACAAAGAAGCCCCACCTCAACTCCATTAGCCTTCATTAGACAAACTGCATACTGTTAAGCTGGTCCTAGCCTAGCCCCTTCGTCAGTCAACAGAGGCCACAGCCTAAGCTGCACAGCCATACCCAATGCAAAGGTGGCAGGTGCCCCTGCGAGTGCACCACCTTCCCTGTGACATTCTGGGAATCCCAGAGGAGATTCCCAGAGGAGAGGATATCTCAGGGGAAGGGGGGCAAAGAGGGGCCCGAAGGGACTGTGAGAGGTCCAGTGCAGATGAGAAGGCTAAGAAGTGAGACCCCTGGAGACTCCAAGGTGAGAAGGCTATAACAGTATGAGGGGCTGAGCCCCAGGGCACCTTAAAGTTGGAGCACCCACCCCCCAGACGAAGGCATATTTCAGATACCAAACAAACCAGGTATTAATTAACCAGCTCTTCTTCTGCAGCTTGCAATACTAAAAGTATTTTTAGTTGCTTTCACCAAACAAATGTATTTAATTAACAGAAAGACCCAGGGGACTTTCCAAAGACAAGACTCATGGGGAAGCATCTGCCTAGCTCAGCTGGTCTGGGCAGGATCTCATAGCTGCTGGCCCTGCTCAGGCCCCTCCCTGCTCTGGCTATAAGACAGGGGGCCCAGCCCACCTTTCTACCTATACCATGGGTGCAGGGACTGGGCCAGGGCTCAGCCCAGTACCCCTGGTTTGCACCCCCACACTGATAAAACAGGGCAGGTATAACTGACAGTTGGGCTGTGAGGCAGGTAAAAGCCTGTGGCTAGAACCAGCTCCAACAGAGGCTGGGCAAGGGTAGCCAGCCAGGATGAGGCACTATGTCTCTGGGCCAGAGGCTGCTGGCTGCAAGATATGGGAGGGCTGCATTCTTGAGAGCCCAGAGCCACTTCCCACCCCCACATCTGCTCAGCTGCACATCTTCTCAGTTGCCTCCAAGCCAGGCAAGCAGGCTTAAGTCAAACCAGACCAGAAAGAACAGGGCCCAATGCTGGAAAGGGGGTGGCAGACCTGGGTTAGGCCTGTAGCTGCTCAAGGGGCTTCAGCCCAGCCTCTGGGAGGAAGGTACCAGAGCCCCTGCTTGCAGAAAATGGGACAGGACCCCAACCTGAACCAGCCTTCTCCTACAAACCTCGTGTCCTGCTTAGGTGGGTGGCCTGCAGTTAGGTACTGCTCGTGGGAGCTAGAGGTCAGCTCCTTGAGACACAGCTGAACCCAGGAGAGACATAAGCCACAAGACAGGGCCAGGGAAGCCAGGAGTACAATCTCTGGACCTACATTGCCTAAGCCCTGGCTCAGATGCTCCCAGCTGTTGACTCTGGTGGGGTGCTGAAACCTCTCTGAGCTTCGCTTTCCCTACCTGTCAAATGGGAATGACAGCCCCTCCACACCAAAGCTTTTCTGAGGACCAAGCCAGTGTGCCAAACAGGGTACACGAGGTAGCCAGTCCCCACAGTAATAACCAAACCCCAGCAACCAGTCATATAGGCCTGGCAAGGCCAGTCTGGAGAGCAGCCAGGGAGCAGGAAACGAGAGAGCAGGGCAGGGCCCAAGTGGAGGCCCAGAGCTTAGACTGACTACCTTAGCCTAAATGACCAGTTAGGACTCTGGATTTCTCCCCAACGCCTGGCCCTCCCCTGCCCCCATCGCTAAAGATGCTTCCGGTAGCACCCAGAAGCCCAAGCATGACCCTATCTCTAAGTTGCAGGCCTATAACCCCTCCCCCAACACTCCAGGCTGGTCTCTCTCACGGGGAACACCTGCCCCTGGGGCCTTGACAAGGGACACATTTGAAGAGTCTGCTTAACAGAGACATTTGAGGGGCCCCAGCCTCTCCCACTCTGACTACCAAGGGCCACATGGTGCCAGTCCTGACCTCCACCTAGCCAGGTGTACACCCTCCGCCCCTATAAGGGATGAAGGTGTGGACTGAGGCATGGATGTCACATCCAGGGGACACACCAGCTCTGAGCCATGGTGAGGCGAGAGCAAGCAGAGCAGGCCTCCTCCCCTGGGTCCTGGAGAGGTGGGAAAGGGGAGGCAGGCCAGGCCTGGGCTACAGAATGCCCCTGCCCCTGGGCTGGCAGCATGCCAACTCTGACAGGTGACACCCAACAGCTGCGATGGGGAGCATGCATATCCATCTGTCCATCCACCTGCCAGACAGCCCCCAGCCCTTAAACACACATAAACAGGCCCTAGGGAGACAGGGCATTTCTGGAAGGTACAGAGTGAGGAGGGGGTAGAAGGCCCAGTCCACAAACCAAAGGGTAGACATGGGTGATAGCCTCATGCGATGCACTGAGTAGTCATGGTCCAGGCTCAGCAGCGTCCATGCATGCACACACATAATAGCTGGGGGTCCAGCTAGGAATGACCAGTCCTGGGGACATGCCTGCTGCAACCCAGCTGGTTTTCAGACTGCAGAGCTAGTGTAACAAAGACAAGTACCTGAGGTTCACAAGGGCCCTGGACTGCCAACTGGACCTGGGGACACAGAGTCTGCCCCAAAAGTGGGAGGATGAATGCAGCAAGCCATCAGGAGGGCATTCTAGGAAGAATGAGCATGCAGGGAAGACACAGGGCCAGACCACTGGCAGGACATGGGGGTACACACTACCATTAGCAGCACGCATGCTGACATCACACCCACAGCTGTCCACTCTAGGGCCATCCACCTGGGGGTAGCCCACCATGGGGCAGTTGGGCCTGCAGAGCACATAGAACACTTCTAGAGTTCCCTGATGTTCCCCTCCACCTCTAGCTGTAACCTTAGTATTTGGCAAACCTTTCCATATGTCACCATCAGAACACTCTAGGACTGGCTGCAACTGCCCTCCCTCCGACCTCAACCACAAAAAACCTCAGGGCCTAAACCTTGCCCTGCCCACAGAGATCCCTCTGCTGTGGTGCCATTCCCTACCCCTGCTGAGAAAGAAGCCCTCCCTCTACCCGGATGGCTTTAGTGAAGCTGTCCGGCCTCCCTAGGCACATCTCCCAAGCTGCACTAGGCCTGGTTACCCACCCACCCAGTGCTCTGGCCCAGTGGGGCATAGCTAGTACCACCCAGACTTTACGTGGGTTTTCCAGCCCTGTCCACTTCTCCCCTGTTCTTCCCTGTCCCTCTGTGCTGGGGAGTCCCCTGGATTCTGAGCTGAGTCAAAGGGCTATCAGTATCCCTAGGGAGGAGCCAGGCCCCAGAAACCTCTTGGAGCCAGGACAAGGCAACAGGCTGATTATGGACCGTGTACCTAACACCACCACCACTAGGGTGTTGCCTGCCCTCTTCACAGATGAGCCAGGGAGCAGGTTTGCTCCTTCACCCCCAGGTCCCTGCAGAGGGAGCCCTGCTCAGGGCCAAGGGGAGGTGGCTAAGGACAGGTGGGTGGCTCTTAGCCCTAAGTCCCCTGACCCAGGCCGGCCCAGTTGGCTGCCCGTGCATGGCCCTGGCCAACTGCTGCAGGCAGGCAGCTGACAGCCTGACCAGGTCAGCTGTCCACCCAGCCCAGAGCCAACAAAGGGCCCATTCTCCAAGCTCAGGGCAGGCAGGGGCACTGGGGTGGATTTCTGGGCTGTCCAGGCTGCTTGCCAAGGCTGGCACGCGTGCTAGCTGCCTGGAGACAGCCTGGCCCAAAAGGAGGGGAGAGGGCTCCCTGCTACACCTACCCAAGATGCTAGCCCTCATGTTTCTACCTATGAAGTGAGGGTGCACTGATTGAGCAGATTCCTGGTCTCTAGAAAAGGGTGGGGGTGAGTACAGGACCATGGGTGGGAAGATAGGCAGAGGATGGAGGCAATAGCCAGTGAGCTGGCTACACACACAGGGCCGGGACCTCATAGGCATCTCCCTCCTCCTGAGGTGTGGTTGCCAAGCCTGTTCTAAGCACCAAAAGACAGGGTGGTCATAGAAGGGGCTGCACAAGGCAAGGGAGCCTCTGCCACCCTCTCCTAGAAGGATTCGCCAAGTGGCAGATTTCATCTTCCTGGTCAGGGCCAAATGGCTGAGGTCTGGATAGACCCAGCTCCTGGACTCTTGTTTATCCCCTCATGGGCTGCCACAGGATTCCCTCTTCCTCTGGGTGGGATCAGGTTCTAAGCCCCTTCCTGGGACCATTCTCTGAAAGGCTGGGAGGAATTTTAGTGGAAAAGCAACTAGCCATTTCCTCTTAGGAATAACTGAGTAATTAAAACATGTTTTCCAAGAGGTCCTGATGGCTGTAATTGGGCCAGACTTACCTGACAAGGTATGTGGGAGAAGGTCCCAGGAATCTTATCTTTCCTACCCACAACTCACAGACATGTAAGAACAGGGACCAACCAACAAAAGCAGTCGTCCTTCATGACCCCTCAGTCTCATCTGCCAACTGAGTGAGAAGCTCAAGGTTCCCAAAGTTGGGGAGGCCAGCCTGCTGCAAGCCGCATGGAGACTCAAGGCTCAACCTTGCCATAGGGTGGAGGTGCAAAACTCTTTTGGAGAATCTGCCACTGCTGTGGAGGCTGCACAAAGCTAGGTTATGAGGCAGTGTAGACTGCATTGCCTTTCATCATATGTCATCGTCTGGGACTGTCCTGATGTAACCAGGGTGCCTACATGCAGCCTGAAACTTAGCACCTGGTGCAACCAAGGATGCTGTGGCAGACACCAGTGACCATCTGGCCTGATGTTACCTCAAACCCAAAAGCCATTTGCTGCCCACCCTCCCATTTATGATTCCAGAGCGCCACAGAGCTGGGCCCTTACACACCCACATCACCCACACTATCCCCATCCACTGGGTCCCCAGCACAACCAGGTAGACACAAGCCCCTTCCACATTCTAAAAGCCACCACAGTCCTCTGGCTCCCTGCTCCCATCTAGGCCAGCCCTCCAAAG